TTCGGCCAACTTTTCGCGGCCGCGCGGAGGATTGGGTCCATGTGAATCAAAAAAAAAAATGGCGGCTCAAAGGGAACCTGACCAAGTGGAAATTATTATGCACCTATCAATGTTAAGCCCCAGGGTGGGGGGGCGGGCTACCCACGGGAAATTGACTGAGAGTGCCTCCCCCTGGGTAGGGATTTTGACATTTAAGCGTTGCCCAGGGTCGGGAATTTGACATGGCCGCCATCTTGGAACACCGAGAGAAACTGGATATGAGTGACCTGCCATCTTGGTAATACCCAGAAGTCACCAGACGTAAATGATCTCTGCTTTTCTTCAAAGTATCAAGAAAACATGAGCGAAAGAAAGGTAAGGAAATCTGTTTTGTTTTTCGATATACATATGAACCATCACTTCTTTCATTGTATGACTGAATGTTTATAAATAGAAGAGTCTTCGTTCCTTCTGTTTCTCTTGGATTACTTTTTGTGCACGTTTGCATATTCATGAATGTTCTTTGTGATGCTTGATTGCATTCAAAAGCTGATTATTACGCATGTTTTCTTCGCTCTGTTTTAGATCCTTGTTTAGTACGGTGAGCGGTGAAAACTTCTCGTCGTTGATGGCACATTTCCATCAACTGTTAAAAAGGAATTTGAAATCGACAGTGCGGAGACATTAGTCTTTAAGGAATATGATGATGAGTGGGGCGAGTATTAAGACATTAAACGTGGTGCATCAAAGGCAGCCAAGACGAGGAGGGAAAGAGGATTGAACAAAAAGGCAGAGAATGAAAATACAGAGGCTAGTTACTTTATTGTCAGTGCAGTTTTCGACTCGTTTTAGATTGGAAGTATAGGTTTTTCAATTGTTACTAGTTTAAAAATCGTGGCTTGTGAGTAGTCACCACTTCTAATTGACAGGTCTGCCAAATCTGCAAGAGTAAGGATCCTGATAATGCCCAAGAACAAGTCCTGTGGATACAGTGTGACACATGTAACATGTGGTACCATCAAGTTTGTGTTAGAGCCTCTTGGCCACCTTTGTTATGCCCTGCAGAGGATGGCATTTTCTGGCACTGCCTCTCTTGTGTTGCGGTGAACACTATGTGAGGTTGTAAAAGACATATCCTTTCCAACCTGTCAATTATTAAATCCTGACTCTGTTAGAAAAAGTTACCCCAGAGGCGGGAAATTGACATTTAGTAGGTGCCTGGGGGTGGGGAATTTGTCTCTGGCTTACATTAAAATGTCAAGTCTCAAGTATGAAAAGACCGTGTGCCCTATTTAATAAATTTGAGGACTGCCAAGGATTCACAAAGAAGCTAGGAGTTGGAAAAGTGAACTCATTGTTAATGAAAGGAAGAATGGAATTATGAAATATAAATATAAAGAAGAAATGTTGGAATTGAAATGCCATTATGGCCATTGGAATGCCTTTGGTATCCTTCATCATTGAAGAGGGAACAGTGTTTTCTATACAGTTACTAATGAGTTGAGGTAGCAACATATATATATATATATATATATATATATATATATGTTGTAGTTAGTTTTTTTTATCTCAAGTAATTTTTATTTTTCCTTTGTTTCATCTTTATTACCATACCTAAAAACCCTGAGTCGAATACCAATGAAGACAATTGGCAGAAGTCGCATTATCAACTTGGGATCATTTGAGTCACCCTGAATTGCTTTCACTAGATACATAAAGCCATGCAAGATTAGGCGGGAATCTTTACCAGTTAACCTGTAAGTGAAGTCTTTATCTTTAGCTCTATCCTCAAGGAGCCACCTACCTAGTTGTTTTTTCATTCTCCCTGCTTTAACATCTTGTTCCATGGCCTTTAAATATCTGGACATTGCCGAATTGGAGGGCAAATCATCAAGGCTATTTAATTTTTTGGGGAGGTTACTTACAGAAATAGCAAGATCAAGTAACATTGCATGAAAATGTTGGACACCATTATTCTTAAGGTGAAGTGGTTCAACAACTTCCTTGTCACATAGCTTACCAATTAATGGTTTGAATTCTTGTCTGGATTTTTTTACAGCAATAAATTGAGTTACTTTGGATCTCTTTGTTGATACTGCTAAATGACTAGGTATTTTTTCTTGAAATCTTCAACCTGTTTTGCAACATTGATTCTTTCTGCATACTGCCAAGGCTTCCACTTACAATCATGAGATTCTCCATACTTCCCATTCAGTGCATTACAGTCATCTTTGGAGACATTAGCAAAGCTAGAAAAATATTTAGCTGCATTACTTAATTCCCCATTTATATATGCAAGGAGTTTCATATCTCCTGGCAGGAGATCAAAAGAAAAGGTGACATTCTTACCCAATACTGTGTAAGATTTGCTCTCTATTTTTTCCATGTCTGTAGCAAGTTTCACTGTAAAACGAGAAACAACCATGTGGTCCTCCTTACAATTAGCTCCAAATAGCAAAAAATTGTCATTGGAACTAGCTACCCTGGGCCCCACATTCAAAAAACTTATCAGCCATGACATAGATTGATCCCATTTCCCACGAGGAGCCCCATCACCCCCTATGGCAACCTTAAATGCTCCCTCCCTCTCACTGAACCACACCAGCTTATCCCCAGGTTTCCTGTACTGATCAGTCTCAAAATAGAACTTGGCCAGCAGAAGTAAAAAGTTCTCCAGGTTTCTATAGACCCCATCAACCTGCTGATCAGGTGGAAGGTCATGGCATAGGGTTTCCCTTATTGAATAAAATTCCCCCACATCAATTTCTTCAATTTTTTTTCATTAACAACCGATAGGGAAGGAGTTTAGGAATGGGATACCCATACCAAACAAAACTCTTTCTTTTGACACAGAACCTAGTTTCTTGGTGTGTTTCTTAGTATTTTTCATAACAAGAGCTGATCTTGTTTGTTCATATTTTACCTTTCCCATCAATCCTCCTGCATAAAGCATAGAAAGCGAACGAATGACATTATGATCACTTTGTTCATACTGCTTAACCTGAGGTTTTATTACTGCTAGACTAGCTTTTCTCATCTTTTTTGATGAAGAAAAGTATTTAGATAGAGCTGCTGTCTTCGCATATTTAGTCAGCGTAGAAAACATGCCATCCAAGGCTGGGGACCTGTCTTCAACAGATCCACCATTTACCTCTGTTGCTGCAACCAACGTTTCAAGTTGTCTTCTGCTGACACTTCGCTGCGGCACGTTTAGCTTTCCCTCATCAGTGAGCACAGTTGGACTTTTTTTTCTTAGAGTGGATGTGTTAGCTGTCACTTCAAAAACTAACCTTCTTTTAGTCTTGACAGCGGGAAGATCAACTTTTACCGAATCAACATTTTCTTTTATGCGAGTTTCCTGCAAGTCCAAGAACGTAAGTTAACCCTTTAAGCCCTATGAATGATCAGCATCAAATTTCTCCTTGTAATATAAATACTTTGTTAAACAGAGTGGTCATGAGAATTGCGGACATGATCACACAAGATGAGTTTGCTTGATATTTTATCAACTTCTTCCCACTTCTTCTGTACGAAATGAATGTAGCGAATTTAACTTAGAGAACATTTACTCTGGAGTAAATCTTAGCGGATCGATGGAAAAATCGCAAAAATAAGAACTCGCAAAATTTTCGTGCCACACGGTAGTCCTCTCCTTTCACTAAAAAAACCTTTTTCAAGCTAAACTTACCTTATTCTTGAGTCGCTGAAGCCTTTTTTTAAGGTACAAATTTCCTTTGATTTCGAAAGGTACTCCGCTCAAAGCGTAGCCCTCTGCTTACTGAGCTCCCCAACAGGAAAATTTGACTTGCATTTCTTCGATGTAGTGCTCTTTCTTCGTGACTTGCTCCCCATGTAAACCGCTCAGCGAACCATATAAACGCAAAAATCTCTAAGAAGCAGAGGCATCCGGTAAAAAACCAAAACGAGGAAAACACAGCCGAGGTTTCAGATCTTCTGTTTACGATAACATACCTGGCAATAATACGTTTCCCAGCGAGAAAATTTTCGACAAAAATACTCAATTTTTCTTGAAGGACTGAGAACTCAGTGTGCATGAAACAGAGAGTAAAAGTACAAGGAAAAATTTTGCGGAAGAAAGATGTAAAAGCATGCAAATCGCATATCAACAGAAAGCTTAAAGCCTGTAGAAATTTGTTTTTGAGTGGGAAAAACTCCCCTAGTACCCATTCCTCCGCAAATAGCCAAATTCTGACCAGGACTCTTGAGCGAAAATGGCTGCCAAATGACCGCGCTATAGAACTGCTAATTAGGGACTGGAAACTGGGGACACTAAACTTGGCCAAAATTGGCACAAAAATTTCCAAGCGTGTTTATCTCAAAACACTAATGGATTTTAACCCAACACAATGAAGTAAACTTCACTTTGAGCAATTTAACTTCGCCCTATTTGTTATTCGTCTTCGAGGTATGCGGAATAGATTAGCTGAAATTGTATCCTATTTACACCGATCTTACCCGCACTCCTATTTAGGTATGGAAGTCTGGCGGCCACCTTCAGATGAAATGCAGAACAATTAGTGCATGAAATAGGGTGGGAAAGGTGGGAACTCTGAAGGCGACCAGCAGGAAGGTGGAGTGCGGATAAGCTAGCGATGAAAAGGATATTAGACGCCAAACAGGAAGTAGTCTAAACTTCTATCGAAATGGTAATGAATGCATTTGTGCGATCCCTCTTATACTCGCTTGGGTAAGACCGCTGTAAATAGTATCCTATATACAGCGCACCGCACTCCTATAGAGGTATGGAAGTCTGGCGCCCACAGAGAACAATGACATGTAGAACGCCAGTTACCCAGAAAGCGGAGACCAACAGCCCAATCTCAAAGAAAACCCCATACTAAACGCCCCAAAATTGAAAGCTAGAGGAAGCCATGAGACAAAGGGAAAATAAAGGTGGAAGAGCACGCTTGAATGAAGACGAGTTGGACAGAGGGAAAGCAGATCAGAGACAAAATCCTTTAAGGAGTTGTAATCGTCATAAATGCGAGAGGCCTCCTGAGACTGCGAAGGAGCAGAAGCAAGTAGGTCAGCTGGAGCCCCAGCCCTGAAAACGTCAGCTAACTTGAGATAATTAAAAGCTGTTTTGGAACTTGACCAGCCAACGTGAGACATAACGTTAGCCAAAGGGGAACCGGAGAAAGCCAGAGTAAGGGCACAGCCGGGACGAGAACTGTGAAGGGTTTCCCCACTGTCAATGTTGGCATCACGAGTATATTTTCTAAGGCGGGAGTCGACCTCGGAGCTTAAAAGGGGTTTATCAACAATATGCCCCTGATGATTTGTCGCACGAAACAAGTATCCAGGCGATGGGCTAATGCCAAGTTCATGAGCAACCGACACATAAGTTTAAAGACCCTTAATAGGGCATAATGCTGGGTTGGGGTGACGGTGCATGCTAAAGAGGTTGCAGACTTCATCCCTCAGAGTCTTTCCCCAAATGTGAAAAGAATCCATTCCCATCAGGGAAACGAGCAGTATCCGAGATCTTAACTTGCCCCAGATCCCCGCAATGCACGGTCATCAGAAGAGAAAAGAGCCTTGAAGAACGCTTGATCTCTGGCGGTGACAAACATGTCAGTTGGCAAGAGGGACGAGAGGAGAAGACGTTTTCTCGATGTGTCGAGAAAGCAAAAGCAATTTGCCAGCAAAAGGCGGCACAGCCTGCTTGGGAGCGAAATAAATCCTTCAAGCTCGGCCTTTAAAGATTGTTTCTGTGGGAATAAGCGGACGATAGACTTGCCGACTGGAGAGAGCTGATACGTAGGTCAAAAACAGGGAGGACAAAACTGACTGCCTTGGGAACGGCTTAGTGAAAACGACGCCTAACGTAACAGTAATTTTGACAAAACTTGAAGACATGGTCATTGGGATAGAGACAAGATGGGCACGTAACTGCTGGAACGAATAAACGCGGAACAGAAGGAAGAGCCGAGAGAAAAAAAGAATGGGAAGAGGGGTATGATATGGGAGACAAAAAGAGACAGGAGATGTAAAAAGAAACTGAATTTTAATAATCACGCGTAACACATTCTCATTACAGTAGGATATGACACTGTGAATAACAAAAAGTAAAGATAACGAACCGATGTAGAAAACTTATGTGAACAGACTAAACCGAAAATTAGTACATTCTCTTCATAAATATACTTACTCATTGCTGTTATCCTGCTAGCTGGAAGGTGTGCACGGTGACTCCTTCGTACAAAAAAGACGACGAGTTTCGTTTGATCAACTATAGGCCCGTAACTGTGCTCCCTACTCTAAACATTATTTTGAAAAGCTTCTATCAGGGCAGATGTATGAATTTTACACTAGGCTCTTATCAGACTTCACAAGCGCTCATAGAAAGTTTCGTAGTTGCTAGACCTCTTTGCTAAGGTAGACGGAGGACTGGAGGATGATGCGCGACATGGGGGAGCTCGTTGCGGTAGTTTTTATGGATCTCTCCAAAGCGTTTGATGTTATTCAGTATCCACTCCTCCTTTCGAAACTGAGGGCCTATATGGTATGGACGACAAAAGTTGTGCCCTAATTAGAAACTATCTCTTTGGCAGAACTCAGAGAGTTAAAGTTGGAGACACCTTTTAAACCTGAGAAAGCGTAAAGCGCGGGGTCCCGCAGGGGAGTGTGCTAGGACCTATGTTATTCAACATTTTCATTAACGATCTTTTCCAGGTAAAGAAGGCCAAGTTGAATGCCTACGCGGACGATTATCAGGTGTACGAATCCCACGTCGATTCGGCAGCTTTAGAAGCATGCGTATCTCATAATGTGGGGGTGGCTAATCAGTGGTACCATGAAAATGGGATGTTAGTTAATGAGAGAAAGCATCAGGGTCTAGTTCTTGGTGATACGGAGACAGCATGGATTTTCCGGCCCAGTAAAGGACACTTTAGAGATTTTGAAATGGAAATAGTTAAGAAACTGAATTTTTCTAGGCATATATCAAATGTATGGAAAAAGATTAACAATCAATTAAATGTTATAATGCGCTTTCGAAAACTCATACGCAGGAAAATCTTATTTAAACTGTATAAAAGGTAATATTTTACCTCATCTGTCTGGCACTTTTGAGGAGCGCGAGAAGCGGATAAGCTTGAAGCACTAAATAAAAGAATACTTAGATTTATAATTGGAGATTACTCGTATCCATACACCACTCTTCTTTCAAAAGTCAACTCTACTTCGTGATGTAACAAGCGCGTTCAGAATTTTTTCATATTGTCATAAAACAAATTGTGTTTCGCTCATTTTCCTGCTTATATGAAGAATAAGTTGTCACTCCGGACCTCTTCCTATGATCTTTGCGGCAACTACATTCTTTCACTTAGGAAACCTAAAAGAACTACCTGCGATCTTAACTGCTTTTCTTACTTTTCAGCTAGACAGTGGAATGCACTGCCGGACTTTTTTTCGTGCGTTTTTGTTTTTTTTTTTTTTTTTTAAACTTAAGACTAAAATACGGGGCCGGGTAGTTAAAAAAAAAAAACAGTGTAAAGA